GACCCGAGTGCCCATGTACTCTTCAGGGACCCACCTACTCTGAACCTCAGCTTTCTCACCCGCCAGGCAAGGGGGTTCTACACTCGACTTTGTGCATCAGAACCACCTGGAGGGCTCCTTAAAACACAAATTGCTAGGCTCCACGCCTTCCCCCTTCCTCATTCAGTAGGTAGAATTGAGGCCAGGGAATGTGTGTCTCTAACAAGATCCCAGGGAGGCTGATGCTGCTGGCTGAGGGACCACACTCTGAGAACCACTGTATTCGACTCTCCTCTCACACTGAAGAGATTCAAGTATTTTCCTGCCCCGCATCTTTCCCATGAACAGCCACCTTGACTTCTTGGTTCTCAGCAGCTTGCGCTGTCTCTCTTGCCCCGCGCCGGCATTTCAGTTGTCTATTGTGCTTCATGTTGCAGAGCTGGCAGACTAGAGCTGGCCCATATTAATGAAGGAGCCACAAAATATACCTAGAAAGCCACTGTCCTCCCCCACCTCCTAGTCGCTGCCCCCCCTTTATCACTTAGTTAGCTCAGAAAAGCAGCCCCTGCCATCCAGGAGCGGGCCAGGCAGTCTCCTCCAGTGAACAAACAATTCCCCAGGACACCAGCATCAGACAAGGCCACTCTGTGGCCAGCATGGGACAAGACAAAAACAAGACCACTCTGTAATCCTGGCTGAACATGGAGAAGTGAACCTTGTCCGAATTACAAACGGCCCCACACATCCCCGCATCCCGGCTAATAGGAGGGACTGCTGCTTCGTTACCAATCACAGCCTCTGGTCTTTCCTGCTTCTAGGTAAGACTGACGAGGACCGCCCCCCCCCCCATCTTGGAATTACCTCGCTTCCGGCCAGCATCCAATCCAGAGCAACACCCAGCTTCCTTAAACGCTCCCCTAAAGCCCCTGCCACAGGCACAGTCCTCCGCATGGTCCTGTCCCACACGGCTCCCTGTGGTCCGTCTCTGTCACGAGAGGAGAACCGCCTGTTCCACGCCAGGTGTGGTCCTGGAGGTGGGAGGGCAGTGATGACTCCTACCAATTTTCAGATTTCAGATTTCAGTTCAAACACAATCTCCTCAAAGACATTGTCCTCACCCCTCTGTAGCTTAAATCACATTGCCCCTCTCTAATCTCCTTTCGTGAGACCTAGCAGGGCTTCGAATCACCTCTTGTCTTGAGTACTGCATTCGGGCCTTCTTCTCCCACCAGCTGCAAAAGCCACGCTGGCAAGCCCGTGCACAATGCCTGGCACAAAGTAGGAGATCAATAAATACTGCATGGAGAGTTGGATGAATGGAGGAATACTGACCACTGTATGCAATCTACTTTAAAACAATTTCAAATACAAGAACTGATGAGAGAATGTCAGGAATGCAACAAGAACCAAAGGTCTGTGCAACCAGGGAGGAAGCGAGGTTTTGCCTGTGCTGTGATGGGTACAAGGGGACAAAGTAAAGGTCATGAGTGATAAAGGTAGAGTCCTTCCATTTCTAACTTTAGACTGTTTGTGGAGACCAACACATTACATTCATTCTAGCTTTAGTTTAGCATAAAGCAATCTCCCACCAAAAAATACATTGCTAAAAACAGTCCAAACTTTCTTGTTACCCTGGAATTTTCTAAACAAATTAAATCATTTGCTGGGCTTGCAAATCCTCCACTATTCACAAATTTGGATCGTTAATATTTGTGCGATTGTAATGACAAGAGGCTTTCCCTCTATCTGGCACTGCAGGCAACTGCCTGCAAGCTCTGAGGGCACATTCTGAGTGGGCTTTTGCAAGAGGCCATTTTGCAACTAACTGGCTTCATTTCAGAGTTAGGGATTTAATGCTCTTCAGTTAGTTTTCAGATTAAAGACTATATAATTTCACTGCGTTAGCCATCAACAGAAAAATCATTACCAGGCCAGGTAAGAATGCAAGTGTATCAAACTGATACACTGGAGAAATCTTTTGAAAACCAAGGAGACTTGGGGGATTGGGGAAGGGGGCTGTGCCTGTGTGTGTACACACACCCGCTTCAGAAACAGCACTATTGGGTGGCTCCATCAGAAGACGTACAGAATCAGTTGTTAAATACCTGTACGTCACCACAAATACACTGCTGAAGATGCTTTAGAAAATAACAGGTGTGGGGGGTGCCTGGCTGGATCAGTCGGTGGGGCATGAGACTCTTGATCTCAGGGATGTGACTTTAAGCCCCACCTTGGGTGTAAAGATTACTTAAAAATAAAATCTTTAAAAAAAACAAACAATTCTTTGGGGCGCCTGGGTGGCTCAGTCGGTTAAGTGTCTGACTCTTGATTTTGGCTCATGTCATGATCTCAGATGGTGGGATCAAACCTGCTTAAGATTCTCTCTCCCCCACTCCCTTTGCCCCTCCCCCTCCCTCTCTAAAAAAAAAGAAAAAGAAAATAGCAGGTGATCTTTAGCCATAAACTACTACAGACATCTTAAGTCCCACTATAAACATTTTAATGAATTAAATGACAGCATTCATTTTAATCAATTGCCTCTAAGTATTAATACCTGAAATAAATGAAAATCAGTTTCTGCACCCTCTCTGTCTTGTAATGGTTACAGTAAAAAAATATTAAGCTTGAAAGGACTATAAAATGCAGAAGCAGTCTCTAATTTTCTTAGGAGGCTCTGGATAATGAAAACAGTTCAGGCTTGAATAATAAACAGGTCTGTTTCTTCTTAAACTGGACTCCTCTTCCCTCTGAGATACAGAAGACCACAGAAGACATTTGTATCTAACTTCTTTTTTTGTGCAACCCTCTCAGGACCCACAAAAAAAAAAAAAAAAAAGAAAAGGTGATCAAAATATCATTTTTGGTTACCTCAGGAAAAACCAACCTGTTACTAAAGTGATCATTAATGTTTAAAGTATATATTTCTGTTAATAAACTAAATCATCTTACTAGGTGCCAAAGCAAAACAAGAGTGTTGAGCAAAGTGTTTTGTCTTCCACCAGGTAGGAGGGTTTCATACCCATTCATTCATTCATTCATTCATTCAATAAATATTTATTTAGGGCCTGCTCCACACCAGGCACCAAAGAAAACAGTGCTGAGCAAAATGGTACCAACACAGTTCTGTCCTTACGGTTATAGAGCTTACAGTAGGGGAGATAAATGTTAAACTCAAATAAATATGTAATACCGCTATTTTTTAAAAGGTGCAATAGGAGAAAGGGTAACAGAGAAACTAATTTAGACTGCAGATAGTGCAGGGACCAGAGAAGGGCACTGAGAAAAAAGTGACACTGAAGCCGAGAGGCCATCAAATTGCCACCACTTTAGAAAAGGAAAACCATTTTGGCAAATGACCACAAATGGGATTTTAACTGCCTGTCAACAGCTGATTGGGTTAAACCTCCTCTTTCCCAGTGCATCCGTCTTCAGGAGCATCCTATGACTGTTTGCCTATCATTGTTGGACTCACCTACTCAAATCCTATTACCTGAACACAGAAAGGTCTCATTTTATTATGATTTATTATGATCTACAGCCTTCCTCTGCCTGGCCTAGAAACACCCAAAAATAATCTGCCAAAGGCATGAAAGACAGAGACTAGCTTCCAGCAAGAACATTAACTGGGTGGGCCACACGATTACTAGCCCAGGCAATCACAAGTCCTTTGCCCAATGAAGTGCCACATCCTCTGGGCAAGGTGGCTCCAATATGCCAGAGTCTATACCAGATGGGACCCAGGAGACCGAACGGTTGGTTTCCTACTTGTCAATCGAGGACTGGATCACCGGCTCCAGTTCCCCCAGCCTTCAGACTTAGAGGATGTAGGAAGTGGCCTTTGAGCATCACGGAGCGGAGAGCTCGTCCGACTGAGAGAAGGCAGGCAGGTAGAGAGGGGGTCAGGGCCGGAGGAAGAGGGGCTCCAAGAGAGGCGGGTCTGGCGCTCAGGACCCGGGGGTGGCACCCCCGGCCGGGGACTGGGGCGTTTCCCCCCCCCCCCCCCCCCCCCACGTCGGCCCCCAGCAAAGGCAACCCGGCCCCTGGCCGCCCCGAGACCCCGAGATTCTGGCTTCCCCCACCGCGGGGCCAGGAAGACAGACACCGCGAACCCCGCGCTGGGCCGGAGCCCACCAGCTCCCAATACCCACGTCCTCAGCGCAGAGGAGGGCGCGCTGGGGCGAGAAAATGGCCAAGACAAAACTCTCCCCGCCCACCCGAAGAGCCAACCACACCCCCTGCATCCCTCAGCCTCAGCCGCCCCGGGCCGGCCCGCGATCCTCCGCCCAGGCCCCCACGGGGTTCCCGTCGGGGCCGCGCGGGCTCAGCAGGGACGCGAGTGGGAGTGAATGGGGGTGCGCGAGGCAGGCAGGGTGCCCACCGCTATGTCACCCGCCAGGGCCCTGTCCCCGGAGCGTCCTCCCGACTCCGCGGTCCCGGGACAGGCGCGCCGCCCGCAGACTGAGGTGGACACCCGGGCGCTGGGGCGCAGGCAGTCCCCTACTCACCCATTGGCGTCGAGCCAGGCCGGGCCGCCGAGGCAGCGTGGAAGTTGGCGGAGGCGGGCGTCGGGCGCCGGGATCCGGGCGCCGGGATCGGGGCGCAGGGGTCGGGACGCGGCGGCGGCTGGGCCGGCTTTCTCCTCAGTAGCGGCGGCCGCGGCCGCTCAGCGCCGCCCGCTGCTGCCTCCGCTGCTGCTGCCGCTGCTGCCCCGTGGTGATTCCTGCTGCTGCTGCTGCTGCTGCATCGCGGCCCGCTGCGCCCGGCTGAGCCGGGTTTCCTGCTCCCCGCGAGTGGAAATTGCGAAAAAAAAAAAAAAGAAGAAGAAGAAGCACCGCCCAGCCCAGCGCCCGGCAGCCGCGGCCGCGCAGCCCGCTCTCCCCCCTCGCCGCCGCCGCCGCCGCCGCCGCCGCGATGCTCCTGCGGCTTAGCCTGCCGGGGACGCGCGGCCGCCGAGGCGGGGGCGGGGCCAGCGAGGGGCGGGGCCGGAGAGGGGCGGGGCCGGCGCCCGGAGAGTCCCTGCGGCTACAGCGCTCGGGCGCCCCCCTTCACCTCCTGCTGGGGAGGGACCCAGCTCTGCGAGGCCGCCCCACACCCGCGGCGGCTCGGCTCACGCCCCGGGAAATGCCGCGAGACTCCTCGAGACCGGAGCGGGGGTCGTGGGGGAGGGGGCGTCCGAGTGGAGGGGCACGTGGGAAAGGAGGTGGAAGCGGCAGACCCACTGAGTGCGACGAGAGATGGAGGGCGGGCTGGCGGTGGGGAGACCATAGGTAGGTGAGGGAATGAACACCTGCTGTGGGTGATGGCAGGTAACTCCGGGATCGAGGATCAAGGCAACCCAAAATAAGCTTTCACAGAGCGGTCTGTTGGGAAGGCAGGAGAAAGGGTCCCTATGGAGGGAGAGAAATGCTACATCCATTCAGTGCAGCGTGGGAAAGGCCAGCCAAGTGCGAGTTCGGCTTACAGGAGGCGGCGGAGAGATTCAGAAAGAGAAGGACGCAGTGGGGCTGGTGGGGCACATCGCCCCGCACCGACCCTCGCAGGGACCCCTAACCCCGCACCCCGGGCCTGGGCCAGGTGGAGTTGGGTTGCTCAGCTGTGTTCCCAGGCTCTGATGTTCCCAAGAATCTCCTAAGGCAAGGGCTGACTCCCTCCCCAGCAAGGTGTTGTGCTACATTGCCCCCCCCCAACAGACCTAGGCAGCCGACCTTTGAATCGGCGCTGAAATTAAAACAGGGAATTCATAGGTAACATAGGTAACTCACAAGCTCCTTTTTGGGTCCATTCACCACTACACCTTTTGCCGTACTCTGCCAGCCAGCACCACATTCATTTACCATCCGTTTATTTCCTTTTCCCTTTCCACCATCTGGTGGTAGGAAGAGATAGTGAAATAGATGGGAAACATTCAAAAAGAGAGAAAATAAAACAATTAAATCAAATCACTGGCCCCTGAAAAACGGAGGAGGCTGAAGGTTAGTGGACCCAGAGGTGACAAATAAAAGCTGACCCCCTCCCCTATATATAGGGCTGTGTTCATACCTCACCCATGATGTTGGGGCAACTTTGGTAAATAGGTTACATGCTGAGATTTCTGCAGAAAGATTTTCTTATAATTGTTTCATTAGCTTTAAAAAAAAAACTCTCATAGTCAGGGTCTTATCAACAAGAGATCAGTAACATCAACTTTCTAAATACTTTTCTTGTGTGTCAGAGCAATCTAAACAAGAGACTAATCAAGGGGGCGAAGACCCATCCATGGAGCTACAGAGAAGGTAGTAGTGACAGCAATGGCAGACTCCTAAGGAAGGGGTTAAAGAACATGGAAATTAAGAATTTGAAGTGTTGGAGGCACAGATGAATACTCATTATACCTGCTCCAGGATCCATGGTGCCTCACTCATTACATGCCTTGGCATATCAGAGAGATGAAGCCTTGTGATAGGATCTTAGAGCTGACAAACACTGAAACTCTATGGAGCCTGGCTAAGGCCCACTATTACTAGGACTTTTTTTTTTCTTGAACTCCACCCAGAAGAACTAGTCTGGGGTCTGCAATTCCAGAGGTAACTCTTTTTGCTAAGGCCACAGTCACTGGGCTACCTTATCCCTCTCCCAAGAAGACTCGGGGCCCTGAAAATGACTGGGCGTGTTTCAACACAGAAATAGCTGAGCTGGACTTGTGGTGGGCTAGCATCTCGGTGCTGAGGATTCTCTGCTGGCTGCCCATGCATTCTCAGAGCATTGGGACCGAAGTCTTTGAACAGCGTCAGTGATACCCACCATGGCTTACCTGGATGTTGCAGAGACCAATACACCTAAACCAGCAAACGTGGCTGAATTCTATAGGCCTCAAAAAAAAAAAAAAATCAGCTTGTCTCGTGGTCCTGCTTATTCTTTTTTTTTTAAGATTTTATTTATTTATTTGACAGAGAGAGACACAGCGAGAGAGGGAACACAAGCAGGGGGAGTGGGAGAGGGAGAAGCAGGCTTCCCGCCGAGCAGGGAGCCCGATGGGGGCTCGATCCCAGGACCCTGGGATCATGACCTGAGCCGAGGGCAGACGCTCAACGACTGAGCCACCCAGGCGCCCCAGTCCTGCTTATTCTTATTCATCTCTCTATCCTACATGGGGAAGACAGTCTTCTTGTTTACATTTTCCCCCCAGCTTTGCACAGGTAAAGACAGACGACCCGAACTTTTATGTCTGTCTTGTTTTGGCTCTGGTCTGTTTCAAGTCATACCTTCCCTTCCCGAATCAGAGAACTGTGTCCCTACTCCTTGATCTGGGTATGCTTCCTGCATGGGTAAATTTGTCATTTTTTTTAAAAAAGATTTTATTTATTTGACAGAGAGAGACACAGTGAGAGAGGGAACACAAGCAGGGGGAGTGGGAGAGGGAGAAGCAGGCTTCCCGTGGAGCAGGCAGCCCGATGCGGGGCTCGATCCCAGGACCCCGGGATCATGACCTGAGCTGAAGGCAGACACTTAACGACTGAGCCACCCAGGTACCCCTAAATTTGTCATTTTTAAAAAAGATTTATTGATTTATTTATTTGAAGGGGAGAGGGGCAGAGGGAGAGAAAGAATCTCCAGCTGACTTCCCACTGAGCGCAGAGACCCACGCGCAGGGCTCCAGCCCAAGACCCTGAGATCATGACCTGAGCCAAACTCGAGTCCAATGCTCAACTGACTGGGCCACCAGGTGCCCCGATAAATCTGTCATTTTATCACAAAAAAAAAGACTGATAGCAAGACTTAACATTTTTGAAAATCCTGAGCTGTACCCTAATTCTATTGCCTTAAGTAAACTAAATGGTATGAATTCTACTCAAACACTGTAGAGTTTTTTCACTTTAAGTTTCTCTAAATTACAAAAATGGATATTCTTACACACACACACACACACACACACAATTTGGTTCTCCTGAATGGTTCCTATTGTCCTTTTATTTTTCCTTTGAGAAAGTTTTGGTGACCAGCACAGGGGTAGTTAATGTCAAAATTCAAATCCAGCTACTGACAAGAATAGATGTGTAATTCCTCATCCTTCCTCCCTCTTAAAGGAGTGTTGTTTAACAGAATAGTTAGTGCAATATTTCAAATAATGTGAATCCATCTCATGAATATTGCTAAATCAATACAGTTGTATTTGATACCACAGCTTTGTCCCACTGAACTCCCATTTCAACCAGAATGGATGATGCATTTTGGGAATGGAGAGTAGCTGAGGTGTGACACTTAAAATGATACCACATGACTTAAGAGGCCCTTTGGTGTTACTGGGGGTGGTAACATTTTGGATAAAAATGTAAGGCAGTTGAGCTTCTGCCTATGTAGCTCTTACAGCTTGTCGTGCTTGCTCTCGAGTACTTGGACTTGACATCTGTACTTTACATGTAATGAATGATACTTTGCTCTGATAACCTTTAATAGCATCTTACATTAATAGAAATTACATACAGAGTGCTTTACAAAAGACAGTCCTTATCTGGTGCTTCTGATGAGCTTTATGGAGAAACAGAAAACCTCACGGTGCCAGAAAGTAAGGAAAGTGCCCAATAAAAATGATGGTGCAAATCAAAAGGGCCCAGGAGCCAACCTGAAAGAGCTCCCAAAGACCAAAGCTGGGACAATTCAAGCAACAAGTAACGATTCTATTGGATTATAACCCAAAGATATCATAAAAGTTATGTCTTTAAGTCTATAGGGGTATACATAAATAGCTAAGTAAATAAGTCAGGGAGAGGGGACAAGTCTTCCCTACAGAGGAATTCCAATTTGTAAATGTAGAAGAAATGAGGGAAAGGGAAAATTGCCATCAGAACACCATAGTAATAATTGAGGCAGGCACGATCCACCTCAAATTTTCAAATTAGTGGGCATGTAAGTGAAGGAGAAACCCTGGCAGACAGCAGTCTAAGCAAGCAGTCAAAACTTGCCACTGACGGTTTTGAGGCAGGCTTTTCCCTTCTTCCTTTGCATCGTGCATGCTGGGTTCAAGGTAATGTGTGCGGATCACATCATAAAGCCATGGAAATAACATCCTGCTCTGTTGCAGTTGATCTGGCTTGATAACCACTCTTGGAATGACCCACTCACTTCTCCTTTTATCTTTTTCAGTGAATCCTTTGCGACAAATCCAAGAGAACTGGTTTTACCAGCTCTATGGAGATGAAAACTAATCAAATCAAAGAAGCAGGTCGTTTATAAGACAGCTGAACTATGATTATCTTTACAAGGTTTGTAGGAAAGCCTTGCTTTGCAAAGGAAAACACAAAGGAAGTCACTAAAAGGTGAAATGGGCCCTCCCACAAGGCTATAAAACTGGAATAGGGTGTTAATGTTTCAAAATCCAAAGGCTGCCTGAGTACTTGACTTCCCAGTTGATCGATCACAGGAACTTGCACCTAAAACACACAAAAAGAGCCCCAGAGTGTAGACTAACTTGCCTCAAACATTTTCCCATCCTTTTTCAAAGTAGTGCTTTATCTAAGAAAATTGTAAACTGGTAAAATAGTCCTAGGAGATTAACAAGAAATATAGTTTGTACTGTTTTCTACCCATTCTACCCGTCCCCCCATTATAAGGGGTCACGTGTAAAGGATATTATTACAAAAAATGAAGTGATATTCCAAAATGTTCCAAAAACAGTAGACATTAAGATCATATGTGTGAAATATGCATTTAATAAATATGAACAACTTTAAATAGAATAATTGGCATTTAACATAGGAATAAACCACCCCAACAGGCCAGTTTTTAAAAATGTGAGTTGATTGATGATTGAGAGCTTTTGATCTTAACAATAATGAAGATTTCAAAGTAGGAACTGCTAGGGGTGCCTGGGTGGCTTATATCTTGTCCAACTCTTGGTTTCAGCTCAGGTCATGATCTCAAGGTGGTAAGATCGAGAGCCCCAGGTGGGGCTCCGCGCTCAGCACAACATCTGCTTGAGACTCTCTTCCTCTCCCTCTCCTCCCCCCTCTGCCCCTTGCCCCAAGCGTATGCTCTCACACACTCTCACTCTCAAATAAATCTTTTTATTTTTTTATTTATTATTTCTTTTTAAAGATTTTATTTATTTATTTAATTGACAGAGAGAGAGAGAGAGACAGCGAGAGAGGGAACCCAAGCAGGGGGAGTGGGAGAGGGAGAAGCAGGCTTCCCGCGGAGCAGGGAGCCCGATGAGGGGCTCGATCCCAGGACCCTGGGATCATGACCTGAGCCGAAGGCAGTCGCTTAACCAACGGAGCCACCCAGGTGCCCCTAAATAAAATCTTTTTTAAAAAGAAAAGAAAAATAGGGATTGCCTTACAAAAGTGATTTCTCTTTTCCCTGAGCTTTCAGGAGAAGCCCAGGGGCTCCATCACAGACTTGGCTTCCATTGGAGTAGGGTCTCCAGGAGGCACAGATGTTTGCTGGCATTCGAGACAGAAGGAGGAACAGGTGAGAATGCTCCGATTGTGGGAAACAGATGATGTTGCAAGGGAGCTTGTGTGGAAGGGGCAGGAGAGCAACCGAACATCCAGTTTGAAGTGGTCTCTGTGCCAGGCCCTGAAGCAATGGGTAGGAGCACAGGTTTCTAAGTAGACTGATTTTAGGAAGGTAACTGGAGAGCCCACAGAAGCGGGACCAGAGGATGGAGAGGCTACAGGTGGGAGGCCTTGGACAGGCCCGCGACATTAAAGGCAAGAAATACAATGGCATTGACACTGACAAAGTGGAGAGGTTAGCATTCTAGAGTCATGTCTGAACTACATTTGTCAGATCTGGTGAGGCAGTAGATGGAGGGAGAGGGTAGGGAGCATGGATGGAGGATTTGAAAGAAATATTTTGTTGGCTGGTTTGGAAGCTGAGTAGCTGCAAGCATCAACCAAGTGGAGAAGGAACTCATTGCAGGCAGGGAGGAGATAATGAGTTCACATTTGAATCTTATTAAGAGTGAATGAAGGGCGCCTGGGTGGCTCAGATGGTTAAGCGTCTGCCTTCGGCTCAGGTCATGATCCCAGGGTCCTGGGATCGAGTCCCGCATCGGGCTCCCTGCTCCTTGGGAGCCTGCTTCTCTCTCTCTCTCTCTCTCTCTCTCTCCCCCCCCCCGTCTCTCATGAATAAATAAATAAAATCTTTAAAAAAAAAAAGGAGTGAATGGAAAAGGGAATAAAGTGTATCCGTGCTACCATATGGATGATCCCTGAAAACATGATGCTACGTGAAAGAAGCCAGCTATAAAGGACACATTTCATATGATTCCATTTAGCTGAAACACCCAGAACAGTCAAATCTGTAGAGACAGAAAGTAGATGAGGGGCTGGGGGAATTGGGGAGGGACAGCTGTTGGGTACAAGCTTGCTTTTAGGGGTGACAAAAGTGTTTAAAAATGTATTGCAGTGACAGTTGCACAACTCTACGAATACACTTAAAAACCATTGTATTATATACTATAAAATGGGTGGACTGTATGGCATGTGAATTCTATCTCAACAAAGGCTGTTAGATATTTAAGAAAGAATGACAATGGGTACAGAGTTTCAGTTTGGCAAGATGAGAAAGTTCTGGAGATGAATGGAACAATGGGAATATATTTAATACCACTGGACTATACATTTAAAAATGATTACCATGGTAAATTTTATGTTATGTATATTTTACCACCATAAAAAAAGAGAGTGACTCTATTTATAATCGGTGGGTAGTATGGGGCCTAGTAAGGATGTTTTCCCTGTTCTGCTTACTGCCATAACAGCCCACACACTGCTTCCCACACAGGACCTCAGTATTGCAATAATCACTCCCCCATCACCATCAATGTCATCCCTTCAGGGTTCCAAGAAAGCACAGCCAGTGGCCTGGGCTGAGGGTAATGAGCCATAGCCACCCGTCAGGTTGTGAAACCCCCAGTGCACACAGCCACCCCCCCAGACAGGTCCTCAAGCCCCAGAGGCCACAGGTACTTAGTCTCTAAACCAAGCGCTCATTTAAGAAGATATGGCACAACTTCTTATTAAATAAAGTCAGTCAAATCAAGTTCCTCTTCTCAAAAATAATTACAGGCCAGCCAGAGGCAAGAGTGGGAAGTGAGTGAAGTTCCTCCTTGTTTGGCTTTGATTCCCCTGTGGAAATTGTCCTTCCTGGACCACAGCAGTTCCTAAAGTGTGGTCCCCAGACTGGCAGCGGCAGCTGCAACAGCACGTGGGAACTCGTTAGGGACGCGTATTGTGGACCCCATCCCAGACCTTCTGACTCAGGAGCTCTGGGGGTGCGCCCCAGTGATCTGCAATGGAACCAGCCCTCCAGGGGATTCTGATGTAGCTCAAGGGTGAGAACCTCAGCTCCCTGGAGCCCAGATGAGCGGTTTGCTCGTCTGATGAACTGGTTGATGCTTCGTCATGAAAAAGGGCTCAGGGGAGTTACCAGTGACCACACCTCTGAGCTGGCAAAACCGATTTGGTGTTTATCATTACAAAATACGTGCTCATTATTAAAAAAAATGTTTTAAATAAAACAAAGATACACTGTAGAAGGTGAAAATCTTCTATAATTTCGCAGCTGTCAATTATTGCAGAGATAAGTTGAGGATCACAGTTAACTTCTGTTGGAATATTCCTTCAGAGATTTTCTAAATGTGTAATGATACTAAGATACACGACGATTTCCATATACTATAATTGTATTTTTTTTTTTTAAGCTGTTAAGTTCTTTTTTATGCTCTAAAGATGGAAATTGAGAACCTTGGGGAGGCAGGACTTTTTCTTAGAGGATTCCCAAATTGCCTTTTCTTTTTTTCATAAATTCGACTGTGAAATATTAAACCTGTCTGGAAAAAAACTTTTTGAGAATGTGTTTCATAACCTTCTGGGAGAAAATTAGAATTCCTAATAAAAATGCTTAAGGACTTCTCTGATACTCTTTAATGAGATTAAACTCTTTTAGGTGAAACTAGCTACCTCCCCGCCCACCCACCTTCTTTGGCTGGCCTCAGGTCAGAGGTCTAGCGACATTCTTTAGCCTGCGACATTATTTTTCCTTGTGTCCAGTCTAACGATGATCATGTAACCAATCACTTCCCAGAAAATGTCCTGGCCAAGAGGGAATCTTGAAACTTTGGCGTGTGTTCATAATAACATTTTCTGAAAAGTTTTATATATACATCAGTCTCTCCTAACTGTAAACACCACACAAGTAGCCTATCAGATAGAGACTAGATCTTTTCTCAGTGCCCAGATAAAGGAGCAAAAATGTTCAACCTTACATAAAAATCCAGTGTGTTACCTATCTTTTGGAAAATGTCTCTGGGCATCGAGCAGTGATCTTAAGATAACAATCCCTACCATTTATGGAGGAGCAGGGAGCTGTGACACTCTTCTTTCTTCTTTTAAATTCTGAGGACAACCATGTAAGATGTCACTATCCCCATTTTACAAGTGAGGAGACTCAAGTTCAGAGAGGCTGAATGTCATGCCCTACGTCCCTTAGCAGGAGACAGAAGCAGGCCTGGCAATGTGAAGTCAGCTGTGTCTGATTCCAATAGAAACTATGGAGTCGTCTGAAGTTGAACAAAGCAACCCTACTTGTTTCATGCTTTAGAATTGCTATTCAATGGCCTTAATATAAGCGTTGGTGGTATAGTGGTAAGCATAGCTGCCTTCCAATGGCCTTAATATAAAATTTAAATGGGTCCTTGTGAGTGTTTTGCTTGCAATAAAATTTATATACATATAAGCTCATGACATAATACTGAGTGATAAAACACAGAGTACATATTTACCCAGACCCTAGACTTACAATTGTCTTCTAACTTAGAAAGTACATTAACAACTTTGGAAGCAAATACTCCAAAAGGTTAAAAGGTCATCTTGACGCCATAGGGCTGTAGCTGATCCTTTTTCCGTCTATTTTCTGAGCCAAGAGAGGAGGGGGTGCAGCCACTGGCCTGGGCCTGAACAATTTAGGCTTTACCCAGGATTAGCAGGTCTGCAGTCTTGGGAAGTTTCTGAACCTCTCTGTACCTCAGGTTCCTCCTCTGTAAAATGGGTTAGCATGAAGCTACAGGGGCTAATGTTTACAAAGTGCTTAGGATTGTGTCTGGCAGTGTTCCACACTTTCTTTAATGAGCATAATTTTAGTAGTGGAAAAGGTTGCTTTTAAAGGTTGTTAGGGGTGCCTGGATGGCTCAGTAGGTGAAGCGTCCAACTCTTGATTTCGACTCAGATCATGATCTCAGGGTCGTGAGATCAAGCCCCACATCAGGCCCCGAGCTCAGCTCAGAGTCTGCTTGGGATTCTCTCGCTCCCTCTCCCTCTGCCCCTCCCCCTGCTCGTGTTCTCTAAATAAATAAACAAATCTTTAAAAAATAATAAAGGTTGTTATACCTATATTATTTCACATTTTCCTTATTTGAGTATCTTAGAATAAATAATAACTATAATTGAACAAATGTTTTTAACTTAAAATTTAAAAATCATTACTGCAAGACTTAAAAGTGAGCATCTAATTTGACAATTTGTAGCAAAGTCTTAAGAAATACACACTTCTAGTTAATCCTGGCACACTGGCTACTTGTGTAACCATCTTTCCCTCTCAAATCCCAGTAAAATGATGATAAAGGAATAGAGAGGGAATCCACCCATAAGGACAAGGAGAACAGGAAAGGAAACATCACAGGACTAGGCAATTCAAGGCAGTATTGGGGTTCAAAGAGCAGCCCTGGTGGGGTAACAGGCTTAGCAAGAAACCATCACAGAGCAGTCTGCCCCAGACCTCAGGAAGGAAACCCCCTGGCTGAGCAAAATCCAGGTGAGGCTCAGAGCTGCAATCAGGGGGACAGTGTCACCATCTGTATGCTGAGTGGCTGGACCCTGGGTCCCCTGCTTACCCTGCTGCACCAGACATTAAACCCAAGAGGATCCAGTTCATGGAACCCTAACGACCAAGCCTGGCCATCCTCCCTGCCTGCCCTCCCTTCCACTGACAGGGGATGGGAGGCTCCGTCTGCAGAAAAGCCAAGGGGGCCTAGTTCCAGGAAAGACCCCTAGATGGGGATGTGGGAGAAACTGGAAGGAAACACTACTTCCCTGGAGGTTGTGGAAACCAGACACCTGGACAGATGAGATTTGCAGAAGCTTCCAATTAAGCTTTTGGGAATACTTTGCCACTGTAAACTGGGGTGAGTGATGGGACCCTCTCAAAAATTCTTGAGAATTTTCTGCTGCAGCTTCTATGCCAGCTTTGGAAGCTTTGGGCCTAGGCATTCCGTGTCAGCTCCTCTGACCTTTTGGGTGGCATCCCTAACCTGTACCCTCACCACCGTCTCTAGCTCTTCCAACCCCTACATGAGCCCCTAAATCTACATTCAAATTTTTATACCTAACATGCAGAGTCTCTTTTCTGGACCAGACCCAGATTGATACATCCTAGGCTGGAGGTCTTCCTTCTCCATCCTTAGTCTTCCTCCAGCCTCCTCTGGGTGCTAGAAGTATAGATGACTCCTTGTCAAGTTCTTTCAGTGGACAGCACTGGCAGAGATGGATGACAGGAGAGAGAAGTCAGGGCACATATTTCCTTCACTGCCTCCCCGCTGTGTCACCAACAGGCTGTGTCCTAAGGACACAGCTCCAGGTAGCTGCCCCTTTCCATATGGAGACCCTCACTGAGTTGCAATGACTCCTTTCTTTTGCCCTTTAGGCCTTAGGTAGTAAAAGCTCTCCATTATTGCTACCGATGGCATATGACCTATTCTTTGCTGTTTCCCCTAAAGCCTGCCCGCATCTTCATAAATCATCCTTTATTAAGCCCTTCTTGATGGCCCAGTTGAAGGGCAGCATGTGTTTCCTACCAGACCCAAGCTGACACACTGCTCTGTCGCCCTTCATCAGAGCTACTGCCAGGCTCGTGGGATGGCCAAAAGGCTTTCAAGAGCCTCAGTGTTCAATATCAGTAAAAGATCACCAGACATTTGAGGAATGCTTCTATTGTGAAGACAAGAGACAAACAAGGAACTAAGGAAAGAAAAGTATATAGAGAACAAACGGAGACTCCAACATTGACAACCACACCGGTAAAAGACTCTCATAGCTGTAAGGAAACACGTTACATCTACGAAACAAGGACGGGACACAAATAAAGAGAGAAAGAAAGGGAGAGAGAGAGAGAGAGGGAGGGAGAAAGGGACAAGGAGGAAAAGGAGGTGACATTGTTACAATCAAGAGATGAAAAAGATTTGGGGAATTTGAAATATGAGGGCCGAAATTTTAAAAACTGAAATTTTAAAAACTGAATAAACAAGTTGTCATATAAAGTCAAGGCAATCTGCCAGAAAGTAGAATAAAAGTGAGATGGAAAAGAGAACAGAAAGGATAGGAAATATAGACGATCATTCCAGAAAGTCCAATATCCAACTTACAGGCAGTCCAGAAAAAAGGAAACAAAGAAATGGAAGGACTGGAATTATCAAATTAATAATACAAAAAAATGGCCCTGGGGCGCCCGGGTGGCTCAGTCGGTTGGGTGACTGCCTTCGGCTCAGGCCATGATCCTGGAGTCCCGGGATCGGGTCCCACATCGGGCTCCCTGCTCAGCAGGGAGTCTGCTTCTCCCTCTGACCCTCTTCCCTCTTGTGCTCTCTGTCTCTCATTCTCTCTCTCTCAAATAAATAAATAAAATCTTTAAAAAAACAAAAACAAAAAAATGGCCCTAAATTGAAGGACAATGGTCTCCACATGGAAAGGGCTCACCAAGTGTCCAGGACAATGAATGAAAAAAGACTCACACCAAGACATATTATCATGAACTCCAGAACACCAGTGATAAATCACAAAAGCTTCCAGAGAGAACAAACAAGCTGTATAGCAACAGGATTGGGAATCAGAATAGGATCAGGCTTCTCAGTAAGGTCTCTAGAAGTTGCAAGACAATGGAGCAATACCTTCAAAATTCTGGGAGTAAATGATCCTCGACCTAGAAACCCATACTCAACCAAACCTTCAGTCAAATATGAAAGTGAATGAGTGACATTTTCAGACACCTAAGGACTCCAATGCATACGGTCTTCAGAAACATACTGTCTTCAGAAACATCGGGAGGATGAGCTTCAGAGAAAGAAAGGAGCACACTAAGAATGCAGAAGACACGAAACCCAGGAAACACAGAATGTCATGCAAGAGAGCAGAGAGAGAAAAAACAATCCCTGGATGACTACATAGCAAGACCAGAGGGCAATCGGTTCAGTTCAACCAGCATGGAGAGCTCTAGGAGGGAGGTCTGACTTAACAAGTGTGTGGAACATGTTATTGGTGAGCTTTGGCAGATTTGATGGAGGATGTGGTGGGCACAATAATGCCCCCCCCCAATATGACCATGTCCCAATCCTCAGAACCTGTGAATATATTAGGTTATATGGGAAAGAGAAATTAAGTTTGCAGATGGAATTAAGGTTGCCGATCAGCCAACCTTGGGATGGGGAGAGTGCCCTGGATTATCCAGATGGGTATGACAATAATATATGGGGAGACTTTGGGGTTGGAAGTTGGGGTAGTAATATAGGAGAGCTAAATCCTCGTCGAATTTAAGAGGAACTCAGTAACTCAATAAATAGTGGCTAAAATCAATAAATCAAGAAATAGCAGAAATAGCAGAATAGGCATATTATTTACACATGGGGAGGTAAAGCCAGAAGAAAGGTATGTAAGAGTTGAAAGTGGCTCCCTCTGAGTAGTGGAACTGAAGACACAAAGGAGTGAAGCAGGGGACCGCTGCATAGAGAGACAAGCCTTACTTAGGACAATTGGCAAAGCTGTGTGTGGGTCAGTTTCCTCTCGCTGCTGTAACAAATTACCACAAATTTAGTGGCTTAAAACAATACAATTTATTCTCTTACTGCTCTGGAAGTCACAGGTCCGAAATGGGTCTCCCTGGGCTGAAATCAAGGAGCTGGCAGGGCTGCATTCCCTCCAGGGACTCCAGGGGAGAGTCCGTTCCCTCGACTTTGCCAGCTTCCAGAAGCTAGAGGCCACCGGCATTCCGAGGCTCCCATCAGCACTCAAGCCACTCTGGTCTCTGCTTCCATCCTCACATCTCCCCTTCTGTGACTCACTTGTCTCCCTGTTCCCCTAATAAAGACCCTTGGGATAATATTGGGCCCACCTGGAAAATCCAGAATAATTTCCCTATCTTGAGATCATTAACTTTTTTTTTTAAGATTTTATTTATTTATTTGACAGAGAGAGACACAGCGGAGAGAGGGAACACAAGCAGGGGGAGTGGGAGAGGGAGAAGCAGGCTTCCCGCGGAGCAGGGAGCCCGATGCGGGGCTCGATCCCAGGACCCTGGGATCATGACCCGAGTCGAAGGCAGATGCTTAACGACTAAGCCACCCAGGTGCCCCTTGAGATCATTAACTTAATTACATCTGCAAAATTCTTTTTGCCAAGTAAGGTAAGGTCACATGGTCCCAGGTTCCAGGGATTAGGGTGTGGACGTCTTTGATGGAATGGCATTATTCGGCTGACCCCAGTGTATCTGTATCACTTTAATAGAAACATTTTTCAAAACATGAACTCTTGGACTCAACAATTCCACTTCTAGGAATTAATGCTAATGGAATAATTACGCAGGTGTACAAAAATCTATGTTCATAGACATTGTTTATGATGCTGAAAAATTATGAACTACATGTTCATGATAAAAAAGTTTAAAAAGTATAGCTATAAAAGGACTACTATGTAGCAATTAACCACTATGCTACAGTTTACGCTGAATAGAAAAAGATGTTCACTGTAAATTAAGTGACAAAAGCAAAATACAAAATGGTAAGTTTACTACTATCTAATTTTTTGTAAAAAAAAGTGTATGTGTCTATCAGAGGTAGAAAAATGTGAGCACTTTTGTGTATGTATGTATGTATGTACATACATATGTGTATGAGTTTATAGAGAGAGAGAAAAAAAGGGAGACAGTAGAAAAATGTGTGTGTGTATATGGGCGTGCCTGTGTATGAACAGGCACATGTGCGTGCAGAGTGGGTATCCATGTACCAAAATCCAAAAAAATACTGAGAACAAACTGTTAACTGTGGCTATCACTGAGTGGTGGGAGTACAAATAATTTTAATTTTTTCTTTATGCTTTCCCATCATTTCTAGGATTTCCCCCCACCAAGCATGCATTACTCTTAAACAAGAAAAAAGTTATTTCCATTTTGCCTAAATAAATAACTTCTAAAAATGAGCACCTGAGGCCCTAGAGACTGACTTGACAGCAGCAGCTGTGAGCAAAGATTACACATGTAGCAATTAGCACAGCTAAGAAAGGATGTCAACTACCCTTATTAATCAACTCTCTAAAACATGGTTTAGCTCTACGTGCTCTAGAAGTATGTTGAAGCCATGACTACAAATCTCCATATCTTGTTCTCTTTAGAATCTTGTTTTGTGATAAGTTCTGTGAGGCCAGAACATCTTGGTGGATGCTGAATCTCAACTGGTTTCCAGGCAGCATCAAAAACAGGCAGCTTGATTCCCTTCCTTGCCCATTAGGTGGGGCAAGAAAGCTTTAGAAGAGTCCCTGCCAACTAAAACATCAACAGGAAAAACCAAATTGCAGAAAAAAACAGATAGAAGGACGAAGAAGTCATCTCGCTCAGTTTGGACAGGATGTACACTAACAATTTTCCAGAATGAAAATTATTCTCAGAGAATCTTCTAGAGAATATCAAGTTGAGACTCTATAAAATTCACCTCCAACAAGGTTTCAGTACATGACAATCATACCTGTAACCAAGACTGTTTTCCAACAGTTTAAAATTAAAATACCTCTGGTTGAAATGCAAATTGTTAAAAAAACACTGCTAAAGAACAAAAATTCAATTCAGTAAATCTGAAGATCTAATTGGCTTTATTGATTCATGAATCGGGCAGCATCCCATCTAGCAAGTAGAGGGGAGTTCTGAGGAGTTGTACAAAACAGAAGACTTTTATAGGAAGGAGGTTGGGGCAAGAAGTTATTGGCAAGAAGAAAAGAAAGGCCCGTTTCAGGCAAGGTCACTTTCCCTTAGAGGAAAGGGCTTGGGGGGGGGTTTCTTATCATGCAGATTATCTCATCTTCCTTTGGGAAGAGAGCCCCTGCGACCTCACTGGTGCTGATCAGAAAAGTCCTGACTTGACCTGTTAAGACTACATTTCTGGGGGAGGTTGAAACTGCAGTTGGAGTAGGTATTAAGCCCTGGTTTGGTGACTTGGCCTAGCATCAGTGACTCCATCCTGGGCCTATGGTTTTCTAGCGACACTGACATACCATTTTTCCTGCATCAGACTGGCAAAAAATAAAAACCGTGTCAATACCCTCCACTGGTGAGGCTGTGAGGAAACAGGCAGTCTCCTGCATTGTTGGAAGAACCAGGAACCTGTATAACTCCTGGGGGGAAGGGATGGTAATACCGAAGATTATTCCATTTACCGTTTGCCCTTCAACCCCGCAATCTCATTTGTTAGAGTTTACCCCGAAGATTCACTTCCAACAAGATGAAAACAAATATGCACAAGGTTACTGATCACAGCATTACTTAAATTACACAATATCAGAACCTACCTAAATGTGCAAATATAAGAGCACATATCAGATTGTGAGCACTAGGCACCTGTGCAGAAGCATGGGCTCAATCTCACAATCTGATATGGAACGATCTCCAGGATTTCTTCAGCGAACAGAGCAAAGTGCAAAAGAGGATGTAGAGAATAACCCCAACCCTAACTTCTGTGTAAGGAAATGGGAAATAAGGAAACACACATATGTTTGCTCATCTTTACCAAAAGAAACACAGGAAGGAGAAGCCAGAAGTTGGTCACCTGCAAGTGAACAGCATGGAAGGAATACAGGAGGGAGTGACACTTCTCTAAGCATATCTTTTTGTAGAGTTTTGATTTGTGGAACTTACTACATATTCAAAAAATTCAGTCAAATCAACAAGGATGGGAAAGGGAGGGAAGCTAAAACTGACAGCAAATTGGGGGGAAAAAGCTCAGCTGTATTTCAAATGAACAACATAACCCCACTGTGGAGGGCTAGGGGTAGTGAGGACTAATCCAAGTAATTTATGAACATAGTATTTATCTATATACCTTCTGTCTTTAGGGGTGTGGAGGTGGAGAACGGCAAACAGAGCCTGACTACTTTTAGTAGGTTTGCTTCCTGTCATGGTATGACTGAAGCAATTGTGAATCTATTTTAGGTGTTTTGTGGAATTGAGCAAATGATAAAATGATTTGGTATTGTTGGGAGCCAGGGTCCTCACTGTGGAAGAAGGGACACACAAATATGAAATAGGGAAAGCACGGAAGAATCCTATAGGGATAGGTGGGAGGTATCAGTGTGACCTCCTCACTTCTAACATGTGTATGTATATATAATATGCATACGTGTGGGTTCATGTGTGTGTGTGTGTGTGTGTGTGTGTGTGTGTGTGTTTCCTAGCTATGGCTGCCAAAAAGGCTTAGAAGCAAAGACATTCCACTAGCAATAGGCACTAGTGCCCAAATTTTGTCTCTAATATCGTTCCCCACTAAGAGGAACCAGGCCTCCTTGGAGAAATGGCTGATTTCAAGGCCGAGGCAAGGAATGTCCAAGATGAATCTGAAGCATCTTTTTATGCCACAAATAAGGAAGTGCTAAAAATAATTATGGCCATAGCAGAAGACATAGCAATCAGCTTAAGAGGGCTCCCACTGGCCAAAGTTGGGATCATTTGAACACTAAAATAATCAAGGACAATAATGAATCATAGACCACTGAAAATGTAGGAATGAATCCCTATCAATAATAAAGACAAATAAATGGGAGAAAAGGGGAGGTTGGATATGATGTATGAAATCTACTTTCAAATGATTCAGAAAAAAATGTGTGTGTGTGTATACACACACATACACACACACACACACAGAACAAATGATAAACCAAATGGAAAATGTTAACAGGTAAAGCTGAGTAAATGGTGTATCAATGTTCCTTGCATGATTCTTGCAACTTTTCTGTAAGTTTGAAATTATTTCCAAATAAAAAATTTTTAGGCAATTGGTTGAAATGTATAATGTCATGTTTCTATTTGCACTGCAGATGAAAAATAGCTGAACCATAACACGACACATGTCTTCTTGAAAGCAATAAAGGATTGTTTCCCACCCCCAATACTGATCAACTACTAAAAAGATAAAGTTCTCTAGATTTCGTTGCTCTTCTTAAGACCCACAATATTTGCTGAGGACTGCTCTGTGGCTGGAAACCTCCAAGCCTGGCAATATAAGGGAAATTACAAGACGTCTGTTCCTCTTGAGATGTTAAGAATCTGATGTAAGAAAAAGTGGATTAAATTTTGGTAGAAACACCCAGCTAGAAAAATAGGTAGAGCTTGAACTGGTGGCAAGGAGGAAGAGGCTTGGGAGAAAGAATAAGTCAAAGGTTGGGGTCAGGAGAAAGCCCGCTAAGGGCGACTTACCACCTAGCTCCTGACACTGAGAAGGTGCCTGGAGTCTGATGGTTCCCTTCGTGCTTCATATCCTTGTCTGCAGGAAACTGTGAGGCAGGGCTCCTAGGAGAGTTCCTGGGAGGTAAGGTTGGGTAAATAAAAACTCTGAAAAGCAGCCCTCACCTTACTGCTTTTCTCTCCAAGTATTTCATAAGCCAGGTGCTAAAATTTGGACTTTTTTTTCCTGCAGGTACCAAGAAGCTGCTATAAAGTTTTGGCTATTGAGGGGGCGTTTAGTCATTCAGCAAGTATTTTTGAGCTACCCCTATATGTCAAATACAGAGTCAGAAGGAGGGAAGAGAGATATAGGCTGTGTCTCTAGTCACTGTGCTTAAGGACTTAAGCAGGGGTGTGTTTAGGTATTCTGGAAGCGCAGAGGAAAGACAGCTAACCCAATGAGGCTTGAATGGAAAAGCTACCAAAGTGAGTCTTAAGAGTCAGGTTTGAGGGGCGCCTGGGTGGCTCAGTCGTTAAGCGTCTGCCTTCGGTTCAGGTCATGATCCCAGGGTCTTGGGATCGAGCCCCGCATCAGGCTCCCTGCTCGGCAGAAAGCCTGCTTCTCCCTCTCTCACTCCCCCTACTTGTGTTCCCTCTCTCGCTGTGTCTCTCTCTGTCAAATAAATAAATGAAATCTTAAAAAAAAAAAAAAAGGAGGTTTGAAGCAACTGACCAGGCAGATACAGGGAAAGGACATTTGGGACAATGGAAATCAAACAGAGCATGTGTGCAGGTGTAAAGGCAGGTGAGTGAGGTGCATTTAAAGGGGTCCCAGGGTGCCTGGGTGGCTCAGTCAGTTGAGCATCCCAACTCTTGATGTCGGCTCAGGTCATGATCTCAGGGCTGTGAGACTGAGCCCCGCCTCAGGTTCCACACTCAACAGAGAGTCTACTTCTCTTCTTCTCCCTCTGCCCACCCACCTCACCCCCCCCATTCACACGCATGTTCTCTCTCTTTCTCTAAAATAAATAAATAAATCTTTAAAAAAATTAAAATAAAGGGGGCTTAAAACTCTGCTGGGTGCCTGGCTGCTCAGTGGGCAGAGCATGTGACTCTTCATCTCCGGGTCGTGAGTCTGAGCAGCACTGTGTTCCCTGTAATCCCTTGCAGAAATTGTCATCAGCAAGAACTTCATAACATTCAAGTCAATTTCTTTACTAAATATTATTTTAAACATCAGTAGAAGGGATTAGAATTTGAGGTAAGAATTTACTTCAGAAAACTGTCTGTAAAACAATCTAGCTTTTACTACCTTTAATAATGTGTACAGCAAAAACAGATAAGCCCTCTAAACTTTAATATGATACTCCAGGATTTCATAAGACATTTGTAGCTTTCTGGGAATGGGATTCAACTCCTTGCCCTCCAAAATATGTAAACTTGAATGTCATACAAACTACAAACATGTTTTAAACATCTATGTGACTACCTGCGAAGACTGAATATACATATATAAAATATTATCTCAACTACCAAAAAAAAGCTCAGAAAAGACTAATAAAAAAATTAAAATGTTAGTTTACATTAAATATATATAAGCAGTATGATTATGAGTGCATTTTTCTTTTTACATACTATTCTATGTACTTTAAAAAAAAGATTTTATTTATTTATTTGACAGAGAGAGAGCACAAGCAGGAGGAGTGGCAGGCGGAGGGAGAGGGAGAAACAGACTCTCCACTGAGCAGAGAGCTTGATGCGGGGCTCGATCCCAGGACCCCGGGATCATGATCTGAGCCGAAGGCAGTCGCTTAACCGACTGAGCCACCCAGGCGCCCCTATGTACTTTTTTTAGAAAATGAATCCCTACGCCCAACATGGGGCTCAAACTCACAGCCCTGAGGTCAAGAGTCACATGCTCTACTGACTGAGCCCGCCCGGCGTCCCTATTCTATGTACTTATTGTCAGAGAAAAAGTCTTTTTAAAGACAGTAGTAAAATGATTTCAATTATGTCTAATTATGTTAAATATTTTAAGAATTCTTTTTTGTTCTTTTTTTTTTAAGATCTTATTTATTTATTTATTTGAGAGAGAGATAGAGCACGCACGAGCAGAGAGGAGAGAGGCAGAGGGAGAGGGAGAGGGAGAGGCAGGCTCCCCACTAAGGAGGGAGCCAGACGATCCCAGGGTCCCAGGATCATGACCTGAGCCGAAGGCAGACACTTAACCAACTGAGCCACCCAGGCGCCCCTAAGTCAAGAATTGTTATTACACAGTCAACACAACATATACTCAAATAAGCTTCCCTACATATTATGGCGTGGGAGGAGGAATGGCAGAGAGTAAAACCCCTCCGGACTAAGATGAAGTAGGCAGCCCTTGGCAGTAAAACTTGTATACATGGATTTTAGTAACAGATAGATATACTATGGATAGGATGAAATATCCTTACCACTTAAGAAAAAAAGAGGAATGACTTTATTTTATAAAAACAATACAATGTTCATTGTATTCAACCGATACAGAAAAGCACTTAAAAAATTGCCAGTGTTAACAGTGGGTGGGCATGTTTCCAGACCTCTCTATTCATAGGTACAGATAGGATTCATGGTGGGAATTGCTATACTTTTTATTTTAAAAGGTTTTAATTAATTTTATTTGAATGCTATAGAAAAAACCTTAAAAATGAAACTGAAGGGGCTGCTGAACTTGAGATAAATGTTTCTTTGCCATAAGGGCTACTGGTTCCCAAAAGAGTTACATAAGCAAGTGATTCTCAAACTTGAGCACATGGCAGAATCCCTTGGAGGGCAGGCAGACTGCTGGGTCCAAGCCCATTTGTGATTAAGTAGGTCTGGGGTGGGGACAAGAATTTTCATTTCTAACAATTTTACAGGTGATGCTGGTATCACTGACTGGGGACCACACTTTGAGAACCAGTGTATTTAAGGTCAAGAAAAAGACTGTGAAAAACTTAAGGTCGATCAGTAGGTTTTTTCTATATTATATAATACAATCTTAGACATTATAATTTGACATGACACCTGGCTAGTCAAGATGGAGCAGTTAGTTTTTATTTTTCATGCCACTCCCCTCCCACCAAGTCTTAGTTGATCAATGTATGCTACTTTTTCTTTGTGAAGATTCTTAACATTTACATTCTATTCTACAACTGTAATTCCTCAGTTTTAAAACCTTAGTTTTGTATTTTAATGGACTCAGAGCTCATACCATTCCTTTTGCTGGAACTTTGTTGGGGAACCTGGTATCCCCTCTCTTCTGGGTTCCCATTAAGTGTCCAGAACCAGGACTCACTGGATGCAAAGGTCTATCTTATCCTGCAGGCTTTGGCTTCCCCAGGCTGCTCCGCGACCCTGGAAATGCCTTGTCCTGGTGAATTGTTCCCCTTTTGCAGAGGTCCTGAGACAGCAGCAAAGACTTCATCTTCCCAAGGGCTTTCCTTGACTCTACCCCACATGGCCTGGTCACCTCATCGGTTCCTTTGTCCATAATGCGGCCCCTTGTCACCAAGATGTCCTCAACTTTGTTTCTTTATTCTGTGCTACTTAGGAGGCGGGGGAGGTGTTGAAGTCACATCGTATCTTGTTGCATTAGCATCTTCTACCCTCTTCCTTGTATGGTTGCTGCTGGTTAATCTGGGGCTGCAGATTATTGAGTTTGCTAGATAACGGAGGTGAGTTTCTGATCCAGCTTTACTTCTCCTGCTTCCATCTGGAAGTATCTTCATCCTTTTAAAAAACAAACTTCACAAATGTAGGATTTGTTGGGTAAAGCGTGGTCCATATCATGCATCTACATATTTTATTATAATGTAAATATAAGTTTTTCCAATTAAAAAAAAAAGAAAATGTGGCCTCTAAAATATATGTAGTAGTTTTATCTGTGATAAGATTATGGTTGTCTTTTTTAAACTGAAATTTATGTCAAGATAAATGGAGACATACATGCACCTATTAGAAATAATACAGAGAGATCCCATGTACACTTTAGCCAGTTTCCCCCAAACCATCACATTTTAAAACCAGCAAAACCACCAACAGAATAGTGCCTTCTGAGATTTGTGAAACCAGTAAGAAAGAAAATGTGACCAGAGGATATGCAACCAGGAATGCCAACTTTTTTTCTCAACTTTCATATATATATGTCCAGTAGAGTACTTAACACTCAATATTGGATTTTTTGTTTTTGTGAATCTCTTCTCCAGCAGTTTATGGAGCTCCTCAGAGGAGGGACTCTGTCATATTATTATCTTTGTCTCCCCAGTGCTGGGGAAGAGCCTACCATACAAGGGAGGAAGGGGAGAAGGCAATGGTATGTAACTTATCAAAACTTCTCTTCTATAGTCTTATGCATTAGAGAATCCAAATTCTTCTCAGTCAATAAAAAATGCTATGGATAAGATAAACTTCTGTTCGGCCTCCACCTGCAAATTGGTTATTTAGTTCCTAATAAACATATTCTACTTGTTACTCATCCATTAAGCTAGTATTTAATGAGTTCTTACTGTGTGTCAGGTAGGATGTTGGGAGTTGGTGATACTAGGGTGAACAATACAGACACCCTTATTTTATACTCTAAATTATAAAGCAAGACTTTCCTTTTTAGGCTTTAAATCTTATGCACCCAATATCTTCTGAATACACCCACATTACCAATAGGTATTTTGTAAATAACATGCTTTGCATATTGAGACAATGCCAAAAAAGTATATTCATATATGCCTAAATAGGAAGTCAGTTATGGAATGATTAATACTGAGTCAACTCTTAGCCTTATGTGCTGTGCTATGATAAATATAGCCAGAGAATTAATACTGTGTACCAAGTTACATTTCCATGTTCAACGTCCGGTTTCCTTATCAGACAGTTTGGACCATAAAGGCAGGCTCCATGTGTCTTGCTCTCTTCTTCACTGCTGTAATTTTAGCACAGAATCTGTGCAATAAATATGTGTTAAACAAATGGTTAAATATTCAAGGCTCATAAGTGTCCCCCAGAATATGAGAATAAATGAATTCTTTTAAAATTTAAGGCAGATGTTATAAGTACCTCACACAATATAAAGTTGTCATACTACTGCACACATGTATTTCTTTCTTACCATAACTGTAATGTTAAATATGTTTGGAAAACCTGACCTACAGAGATGGTACACAGCATTAAGACAGGCCATCTACCTAAATTTACTAGCCAATTTTAATGCAAGTACTCCTGCCCTCACTTATTACTGACCCACTAAGGAAATGGCTGCTCTATCTTACAAACATATGTAAAAAAAAATTAAATGTTTGTAGTGAGTTTTTCATAATCCAGTCATGAGAAATCAAGTTCTTACCAGATTTTGATTTTAAAAGTTCTGCCTTTGTATGAAATTAAAATAATGTTCTCACAAACTGGCAAGTAACTTCAAGCAGAAGGAGCAACAGTATTTTATTTAATACAAATAAACATTTCACAAAAGTTTAACTGGGAATGTATATGTACTATTAAGCAGAACAAAGAAAACATAAAGAAATAAGGTACCAGGACCTAAAATATCATTTAAAATCCCATCAATTTTATCTTACGCTAGTAGGAACTTATTACAACTGAACTGAAAATAAACACTTTATAATATGTGCTTGCAAAATGTATAATGCTGTAGTAGTAAAGTACAATTTCCAAATATGAGATTTTGTCTGTCAGATTTTTAAAAAGCCTTTAAAAATATGATATGCACAAGCTTGCCCTGAGGGAAAGTAAGATGGAATATAAATTACAAAATCTTTACATATTTTCCACAATAGCATTTTGAAATTGGAAAGAGCAAATAGTGGTGGAAAAAACTGAATGAACTAACTACTAAAAATTCAGTGCACTCATAACTACCTGATGGAAATTGTGAAGCACCTTTTCTCGTGCCTTCTTATATCATAATTTGAAATGTATAAATTATAGAGGCCTTGATATTCAGAAACTTAAGAAAATTTCAAGTTATAAGCCGAACGGTCATCAGAAAAAAGAAAAATCTGGTATAAAATTTGCTACCATAAGGCCACTGTTTCAAGTTCTTCCATGTACAGACACTATACAATTCAGATACTTTTGTTTTTATTACATAAGCAAAACTTTCAACATATAAACATCTGGATATAACTCAGTTAAGTTCTCTGTGAAACCATGCTCAGAGAAAAATGCATCAATAAATAATGCCCTTTTGAGACTTTTTGCAAAAGAAACTGTAGTTAATACAACTTTTAAATTGAGTACTGTAATTTAAAAGCAGTTAAGTGTAAAAAAGTTGCAGCATTCCACTACAGAAAAATAAAGTTATTTTATCAAGAAAGTTACAGTATTAGTGCTTTAGTGCCAATTCTAACTCCTGACAAAAAGAGATGCTCCCAAATATCATCCTGTAGTGTTGTTTCCATATGTAATAATTCCAGATTAGTTTGCTGTGGCAATGTTTGCATATTCCTAGTGAGAGAAAACAAAAGAAATACAGACTTCAAAAGAAGAGTCAGTTATAACATCTGAGCTAGAGTTTCTTCACACTGTAGTTTTCAAGATATTTTAATTTATGTAGTACCACTTGCAGCCAAGACCCCCACAAAGGTATGTGGAACCCCAAAGACGCAAAGTAACAACAAAACACATCAAAGCAGATATCAAATGGTTAAATCAGTAGGACAAAGAAAATGTATGACACTCAGCACACTGGTATTAGTAAGTTGATGAAAAGGCATTCTGCTATTTGGGTGAGTTTCACTGGGGATTATAAAAAAAAAAATTCAAGACTCTTAAAACTTAGCCCCTCAAGCACGGAGCCTGATGTGACACACACACAATCTCGAACTGGTATTTGATCTTTGTCATCATATGGTATCTTTAATTTTAAAATGACATGGACTCTTCTTCTAACTTGGCTGACAGAGAAAGCTACTGGGGAGATGGGGAAGCATTCTTACTTTTGGATGGTTACCTACAACATAAAAAGATGTAAGGCTTCCGTAAACACAGGAAAAGGAATTCACAACAATAAAACTGTGATTAAAGAGGGTAATGAAACGTGGATTCTATACTGTGATGCTATGCAAAAATATTAAATTACCAACCACAAAATGGACAGAATACCATGCAACTAATAAAAGAGCAAAAATGGTAAATGGCATGTTTTTCTGGGACATTAAAAATATTTATTAATACATACATCCTTACCTTTTACTAGGATCTTACATTATTAAAACTGAAAGAAATTTAAAAGTTGATTTATTTTTTGGCATTTACATTAGTATGGAAACATTTAATTCCAAACAAAAGCAGTGCTGATAGAAAATTCTTATTCTTCTTTCAATTTTGGTTTATTAGTGAAATGTTCAAAATACATGCATATATATATCTGATATATATAGAGACTCAACATCATTCCTTTACATAGAAGTAGACTTCATTGTGTCCCATTTCTTTACTTGTTATATAATATAAAAGCCATATATGTTGACCTTCAAATAAAATATCTGTTGCCTACTAACAGCTTTAAAAGGAAACTCTGACTATAATAATTCTTAAAAATTTTCAACTATCTTGTTTTTACAAATGTACAATTATCCTGAATCATATTCACCCTTGACATAGCTTCTTCCACACCATCTCTCAGCTTGATCCCTCCATTCCTCCGATTATTTGAAAACCTATTTTAAGCAGAATGTGAACTAGATATATGAGCGCCACTGTGGTCTAAGTTTTCTTAAGCTGACACTTGGTATCACTGCAAATGCTCCCTTGTGGGTCTTCCTGCATCTCATCTCCTCCCCAGAACCCTGTGTACCCACTGCTCACCAAGCAATCATCCTCAACAGCACTTTCTCCTCAGTCTAGCAACATGTTCTATTTCTGTATCACATCCTCAATACTCTACCCAGCTTTTGAGGCCTTCTATAAGCTGCACACTCCTATTGTTACCCAACTCTCTATACTCTACCACCAAATACGGATCTTCGGCTGTAGTCCCTTCTATGCTCTGCTCTTCTCTATGACTCAGTTTACCTCCTCTGTAAGAGGAGAGTAAAAATCAAAGTACTTAGCATACTTTCCCTGGCCATTCCTAACATACTGATTTTTCCTCCTCTCTTTAGACATTTGCCATCTGTGAAATTAAGCTCTTCAAAACTATGGTTGTACAGATGAGTATACAGTATACCTGACTGCTATCCTTTGAAAGACCTGCTTCCAAAGTTGGCCCCTGGCTAACAGCCAGGAACTTAGATTTTGGGAGGATTCCCACCATTGATGAGTGTCTAAACTGCGCAAACAATACGGTCTATGCTGAACACCTGCTTTCCTTCTGAGAGTCTGGAATTCGGGTATGTAACTGGCCGAGGGTGCCTATGTGACCAGCCCTCAATAAAACCCTGGCCACCAAGTCTCTAACGAGCTTTCCTGGTTGGCAACATTTCACATGTGTTATCACAGCTCGTTGCTGGGGGTATTAAGCACGTCCTGTGTGACTCCACTGGGAGAGGACTCTTGGAAGCTTGCACCTGGTGTCCTCTGGACTTCGCCTACCTGCCAACTCCCTCTGCCGATGTGCTGTGCAGCTTCTACTCTAACACACCACAGCTGTGAGTGCCACCATATGCTGAGTCTCCTGAGTGCTCCTGGCAGATCACCAAACCTGGGGCTGGTCTTGGGGACCCCAATACAATGGCGACCATTCACTAACTTTTTAGAGCTATAAATGGATGTGTGAG